AGTGTTACACTGTAAATCATCCATAATTATCACAGGTGTACAGAGAGTACACTTTTCAACCCCCTCCCACAGCGACTTAACCGATGAATATTGGTTATGAACCCGCCTACCTGAAGCATATAGTTTGTACACTTCAGGAAATGTTGGTAGTTATGGACAACCCATAATTGAATTTCATTAGCCTTTACATCATTGTGAATTACCATTTGCATGCATGTAACACTAACAGCATGATTTTTATTCCATACCATATAGGAAAAATTGAACACATCTGTCCTGCAGAGCTAGTACAAATTTACATTAGCAACTATTGAATCAGTGAGGGAGGTATAATAAAGCAAGTGTTTAAATAAATGCAGCCAAATCAAAATTGTTTGTCTCCACACTACACTTCCTCATCAATGGACAGCTCAATGAGAACAAATGTTGTGGACAACTGTGGTTTGGACATTGCAGGCTGGCTGCACATTTTGCAATGATGTACATGCAGGAGATCAGTTGTTGAAGCATGAATGAAATCGATTTCAAAAAAGCTCCAAGGCTTACTTTATGAGAATGGGTCATTCCAGAAAACATCCATACCACCCCCACAGAGGAAATAGGAAGTTAACCCCCTTCAGATGTCCTAATACATTTACTATTATCAGAAACAATTTTTTCTCCCCTCCCCCTCCAGACGGCAGAAATTTCCTCCATGGGGGGAGTATGGATCTTTTCTGGAACGACCCAATTCATTTTCCATATGAGTGAGAGTTCCAATCAGCCGCATGTGAGGATGCATATTACCACATCTTTTCTTTACCCTTGCACAGTACAGAGAAGGAAAAACAAAGACCAGATTTTGAACCAAGTAACTTTGTTATTTAACTTAAAACTGCACTGTATATAACTTTAAATACTGTAAAAAATGAAATATCAGCTAAATACTAATTCAGTAAGAATTGTCTTGGTATGGAAATATCTTGTTCTGTTGTATATGCATTGTTGAATTGCCATGTCACTTTCTTGAGTATTACCAGAATATTAAGTATAGTTGAGCCAGCTTCCTAATATTATGGAATCTAGGATAGTTGTTGACTTTGCGGTTTTCTTAATAATCTCATATTAGCAACATTCCTAGATGCGAAGACTAACAGCATTCCCATCCCCATTAAGTTGTACATATACAGTTGCAGTCTTCTTGACAGTTCTTGTTTTATCCATATTGAAGTTTGAGAAGCATGAATATCTAAAATATAATACAATTGATTTGCATTTCATTTCACAAACTGGAAACCTAAATCTATATGTTACACTAAATCTATCCAATTAATTTATTAACAGTAGATTTATTTCTAATTGAGAGAGAAACATACTTACATAAGTTACATTTGAACAAAACTATCTCTAAACTGGTTGGCAATCTTTTAGTTTTACTGATTCACCATTCAGTGCACAATATAAACTTACAATACAAATGAAATTTCTGCTGTCTGAAAGGGGATGGGGAAATCCACTTTTAGAATGGTAAAATGTACTAGGATGTGTAAAAGAATTTATGGGAGTTCTAATCTCCTGTATGAGAGCTGTGGATCTAAGGCAAATTATTCCACATGTAGGCACTTTGCATGCTCCAAGGGAATAAACTATAAATTACAGTATTATTATATACTAGAGTATTTATTAACATGCGATAATTTTTAGTCAAAATAACTTAAACAAGTGCCAACGTTCACAGTGTAAAATGGATATGAGTCTATGGCCCACTAGTAAATTTTCATTATCAAATTATAATTTCTCAAAACTAAGCGCTTTAAAAAAATACTTTGTGGGCATATTAGCACCAGTCATAGGGCCATTATATGTTGAATTATAATATAAATAATAATATATTGTAGTTTTTCAATTACCTTCACAGTGACAGTGTTGTCAGACTGCCAGTGCAAGCAGCCGTGAGACATGACAAACAACGCGAATTCTTCGGCCAGGAAGATAAAAATTAGACGTGCTAGCTTCTTGTTATTTTCTCTCTCTAGACATCTTAATTTTTGAAGAGAAATTACTTATCTAGAGGTATATTTTAGCAAAAAATACATTTCCAAACTGAAATATTTCATCTCAAGAAGGCCATGAAAAATTTGTACGCCAGCAATGAATTGGTCAGCGCCAAGGCAAATTCGCTTTTGCGCATGCACTAAAATGTCCATGAATCGTGGAGATTTTCACAGCCTTTACCAGGGTCTTCTCATTTTTCACGCGCCATGCACGAAGAAGACCCTGGGGACGAGGTTGCCATAGATATAGGAGATATAGACAGTGAACTCTATATATATATATATATATCTGGAACGATAACATTCAGTCATTTGATTGTGAAAACAATGAAGCCCGATGAAGCCTCGATACCAGTCTTTCACGCGGATTGGACGTCAGTCTCAGTCCCTCAAACGTCAGGTTTACGCGGATTGGACGTCAGTTTCATTCCCCCTCTTGCAAACCGTTGCACGGCCAGTATAAATTTGAACGCAATCACGAAAAAAAATTAAAAACATGGCCAACTCAATGCAATACATTTTAGGAGCAAACTGTTTTGCTCCTAAAATTTACTGCATTGAGTTCGCTGTCGGAAAAAAGTCGAGGAAAACTTCCCCGTGTGGAGAAAAGAATCACTTTTTCAAATATATTGTGTCGTACTGTCGTTCTGGATGCACAAGGAAAGAGATATTCTTGCGAGAAAATTTCATTTCACAGGTAGGTAAATTGACTTGCAACTGTGACTTTGCCGTTGCCATTTTTCGCGATTGTTTGAATTGTTTTTAGTTTACCAGTTTTATAGTTTTTAGTCAATACACTGGTACGTTATTTTTTAAAGAAATTTATTGTGTGATCGGAATTTGCCTGCCAGCAAAATGTAAATGAATATGTACGTGTGTTTGAATATAAATTAGACCATATGGGCTTAGTAAAAAATTATTTTAATAACTACGTTTCGGAGTATAACTCCATCTTCAGGTTAAAAGTGAATAAAGATATAAAAACTGTGATAAAAACTTTCGAAACAATTACAAATTTTATATGTAAGTGATTTTTAATACTGTAAGAAAGTTCTTGAACAGTTGATGACGAAGACAATGACGAATACTTATGTCGTGATTTTTTTGTCGGCTTCACTTTTCGCTCGCTGTTATCCATACCTAATTTTAGTGTGCAGTGATAACCAATTTGTGCAGTGATAAAAGTAAAATGTGCAGTGATAAAATGTAAAATGTGCAGTGATAAAATTTGCTTTGATAAGTTGTTAATTAACACAAGAGAAAGATTTAATTGAAATTGAAATGATGACTGCCAAATTATCGAATTAAATAATAGTATTTGTTTTTGTGTACGAAAATCATGAGATTCAGGCAATTTTTAGTTAATATCTGGCTTTTGGTATGTCCGGAAAAAATTTTTGACCCTTAAAATGGTACACTGACCAAAATTTTTTTGGCGACGGGGGGGGGGGGGAGGTCGCCAAAAATTTCCGAATATTCGGAAATTTTCTTAGTCATTCGGAAATTTTTGGCATAAAATGTGCAGTGATAAAAAATTCTTAAAATTAGGTATGCTGTTATCATCCAGATATATATATATAGAGTTCACTGGATATAGATCGCCGACTCAGCTCGCGAGGCGTGACCACTGAGCTATACTATATTACTGGAGGACCTGCTCGGCATCAACCATTGAACTATAAATAAACTGGAAGGCTAACTGCTATGATGAAGGCCTATGATTTGATGAAGCCAAAATAGTTTTTCTGAGTTATGAGCAGAAACACTTGACCCCAAACGTCGGGCTATATATCAAATTGAAGCTATTGAAAATTGCTATTCGGTGTGGAAATTTCAAGACTTCAGCGAAAAGAAAAACACTTAAAAAATACAAAAACAACTGCAAAACGGCAAATTATCGGTAATTATGTTTGTAGTTTTTCAATATTTCCCTTTTAGCTAAAGTCTTGAAATTTCTACACCAAATAGCGTTTTTCAATAGCTTCAATTTGATATATACCCCAATGCTCAGTGTTGAGTATTTCTGCTCATAACTCAGAAAAACTAAAATGCACTGGCTTCAATTTCCCCCCCTGAGTTAGCCTTCCAGTTTATTTATAGTTCAATGGCATCAACAAGTGAAGCCGAAAACATGGCGGATCTTACGCCATTGCCATGACAACACTTCCGAAATTTTCATGCTAACTGCCACTGACCAACCGCGATCCTAAGCTTCCGACGATGTCCTTAACCCCCCTGGTTTTTGCACAGAAATATTAAAGATATTTCAAGTTTTCTGTTGTTTTTGAGCTAAAAAATTTTAATATTTCCATCGCATATTACTTGTTTTACAACGCGGAGGAAGGATGCGGGTTTGCTTCGCTTGTGGATGCAGCACTTCACTGCAAAGAAAGACTAATTCTTTCAGGTAAGATTCACGAAACTTTTTTTAACTTAATTCTAGGGACTTGCATGGTCATATCACTCGAGATATAATACACTCATATGTCAAAAACTCATCATCCTAATATATACAGCAAATATTTCAATAGCAGACATACAAATATTGTTAATGAGTAGATACTGTGTGCATGAAATTATGTTGTTTTGTGTCAGCACTGGCCTTTGTGGTTTTATTGCCAGACTGCCAGTTTTTAATACTTGTAATTTATATTGTGGTTGTTTTTACATGTTTATATGGTGTGAAATTTTTATACTTGCCCATCATATAGTGCAGGATTAATATATATAGACAAGCACAAAATCACGAGACCAGAAATATTTGAGTAGAGGAGGCCCACCTATGTGTGTCAATATATGCCTGTCCTGATGAGCCCCGGAGACTGTCTTTTTTTTATTTTACACTGTCTGTGTAATGCCAGACGATTTTAAGGGGAGACTGCTCACTGCTGCCACTCAGTGGGTTAAATATACTATCTGCCAATGAGCATGCAGCCCCTGAGATATAGTCAGCCCATTAAGCAGCAATGTGCCGAAATGAACCCAGGCATTCTTATTTTACTCAAAGGGAAGAGTCTTGGGGTAGAAAATAGATACTCACTTTGCCATTGTCTGTTCAGAACTACATACACAGTATGATGTGATAGTTACATGGCAAGAAAGAAAATGTTGCCCACAAGCTGTTGGGATTAGTGAGTCACTATTGATGCACTAACCAGGTAATTAATTCAGAAATTTATGCTACGTACAACATTTCTAACATTGGAAGAGGTGATGTCTGATTGGTCTGTGAGAAACTATGATGAAATTTGCTAATAATAGAATTCCATTCCTGAATATGGATACATGACACTTCAGTTTGAAGCTTGGGATCATTATGGTTTTGGTAAAAACAGATCATATATTGCACCATAGTGGCAGCATGCTCTCCCCTTGACTATAGTAAAATTGTCTGACATTAGACTGTAACATAATACAGTAATACTACTAATACAGTAAGACACATTGCCACTTGAAGGGTTAATATATGTGTATTTATTATATAGTAGAGAGCGAGATACTGAAAAACACACATTGAAATATTTTCCATATCTTCACTAGTGCATGACGATATCGATCACATGACTTTTTCCAATTTCACAATTTTTTGCTTGGGACTATATAATAAACAGAACATTACATGGTGGCTTGAAGATATGACTTTTATCTTCTCGTGTTAAAAACAATATTTTACTCACTTGCTGTGCTCGTTCGTAAAATATTGTTTTCACCACTCGAAGATAAAAATCATATCTTCACGCTGCTGTGTCATTTTATGATATTTTTCATTTTCATGGTGTATAAAGATGTATATAAATGTATCATGATAATAATGTCATCTTTTATTTTGCAGAAATTATCTGTTTAATGCAACACAAGAGATGGCACAGGCATCAACATGCAGAACATCAAAATGAAGTTATAATTATAATACCATAACAACATAATAAATAATTATATGATTATAATAACTTTATTGAAGTGTAAATTTTTACAACAGAGCACAATCATGCTCCACTAAATTAGGAAGAATTAAAATTATACATTTTTTAATTGTTTACTGCTAGTTAATAGAGGCTACAAAAAAGTCAAATACTGTACATCCTTCCAGAAAGTATGCCACTTTGACTATGGAGCCTCGTTTTTGTGTATTTGACATGTCTCAATCATGAAAATGAGACTCTACAGCCTATAACCAAGATGATATACTTTCTGGAAGCATGTATTAATTAAAATACAGTTGTTCAAAATTAATCAAGCTTTAATTGTATGTTCAGTTCAGGCACAGATTTTCTGGGGGGGGTGCCCCCCAGAGGCATTTGGCAACGCCCCTAAAAATTTTTGCACCCCGCAAATTATATATATTTTGATTTGATAGTTTCATATTTGATTATTCTTACTACTAAATTTGTAAAATTACCAATATTATGGTCTCAGATCTTGCCATGCAGGGGCCAGTTGTTCAATATGCTGGGTTAGTTTAACCCTGGGTTAACCTAAAATTCAAAGCAAACTTCCTGATAGCTTGTTTATAAATTTGGAAATAGTTCTTCAGAAATCTTGTCAGGATCAATAGGAGTTCTCTTTTCTGAAGTAAGTTTTGAAATAAACAGACTTGCACAAATACATGAACTAAAACAACAGATTAAATTTTAACCCAGAGTTAGTGCTAACCCACCTTTGAACAACCGGCCCCAGGCCTAGAAAACAAATTTTGTTAAACTTTTTCCTTGGCCTTTCTGGGCATTGCCACCAGGCCCCAGCCAAAGCAAGCAGCAGCAACCTCCCCCCCCCAGATTAATCCACCCCCAAACGAAAATATGAAAATCCGTCTCTGGCTCAGTTTCCAAAGATGTGGCTTGATACTGTGTTTTGCCACCGAGAAAGGAGAGTGTGTCATTATGGATTAAATCTGCAATAAACAAGAATAGATTAATTTTTAATGAGATTGTACAATTATCCAGGTAACATAACTTAGCATATGACCAAGGTAAATAAACGAATGTGGCCTAACTCCTCGGCTTAAATCAGAACTATGAGTGCGCTTATTTAGGTACATTGTTTATTCAGAGTGATATTGGCATATTGCATTTTTTATCTGTACAACCCCTGTTGAGGACCTTGGAAATCCAGGGGATGCCTTTTATATTTAACCCTGGAATTCCAGTGGGTGGGGGTCAAACCAACCTGGAATTCCAGTGGGTGGGGGTCAAAACAACCTGGAATTCCAGTGTCATTGATTAAAAACAATTGGAATTCCAGGCACCCCCTTCTACAAACCACATTTTTCCAGGGCTTCTGACAAAAAATTACTTGGAAATCAGGGGGGAGGTTGGAGAATTTACGCCGTGTGTCCTCAACAGGGGGTGTACAGATAAAAAATGCAATAAGCCATTTACTGAGAAAACCTGTAAGAAAACAGTGCATCTTGGAAATGAGGTGTGACACACATGCATGCATTATCTCAAAAGGAAATAAATGTAAATAACTAGTATGTAATTTGGGCAAAATTAAAAAAAATTGGCACACCTCAGCTTAGCTAAACCTCAGCTTAGGGAAAAGTGTGATTTATCTCAAGCCTCTATAATGACACAAATATCAAGAAGTATCCCAACCAGAAAGCTAGCACCTCCAGCTTATACTGTACATAAGTTGGTACATAACACAAAACCTAAATCCCTCTTTCAAAAAGATAGTCTGTGGTACATGATCATAGTTTATGTCTATTTATAAAACGAGACCTCAGAGTTTTTAACATTATTACACAAGACAGTTCGCACTTTAAAGACCGTCGTATTAATACTCGTATATGTGACTGAATATAATTTTAATAAGACTAATAAGCATCGTAGGTTGTAACCAAATATTTGCGATTGTGAATAATCACAGCTTGCTAAAGTAGTGGAAAATTTTACACTTTCCCATGTGTATTGCACTGTAGGAAGCTGTTTCCTTAACAAATAGAGTGTCATTTTCATCGTTATACTTATTATTTCATGTCAAATAAGATAAAGTGTAAATAAAATTGAATATGAAAATACGCCTCTTACCTGGCTTTGTTATTTGTATATTAAAATCCATATTCAAGTCTCGTCTTTTTCCCACATTTCTTGAGGTTTTAAAATTTGCTTGTCGTCTTTCATGGGCGAGAATAACACGTACGACTTGCATATCTTTGTCCAAATGGTCAAAGGTAGAAAATTTATATAGAAAAAATTTTAAAACTGATTCAAAACAACAAGAACTATATTATCTGCAAAATTTTTTGCAAAACCAGGGGGGTGTGAAAACGGCCGTGGGCTCAGAATTGAGCCTGGTCAGTGGTAACTACCATGAGGATTTCGGAAGTGTTGTCATGGAAATGGCGTCATTTTCACTCAAAATCCGCCATGTTTTTGGCTTCACTTGGTTGACTGAACGAAGTATAGGAGCAGGTCCTCCAGTTATTATACAGCTCAGTGGTTTCGCACAATTTCAGGGTGTTGTGGAAACACGACGCCCGAAGGGCGGAGTGTTTTCACACAATTTCAAGTTTTCCCAATTTCCACGAGTGTTGATATAACTATATATCAATACGGAAAAAATGTTTTATATTTGTTTTATAATATAGCACAAAAAAACATAAAGAAAGAAATTTTCCGACGTTTCCGTGTTGACATTGAGTTATATCAACACGGCTCTTAGCCAATCAGCGTTCAGAATTTACAAATGCTATATTATAATTATATTTCATACAATTGTAACTGTGCATCGCTGTCTTTGAATTCATCGTAGCGCTATAAGACGTTCTTTTGATCGCTCAACAGGATTTATTGGCACTAATAATATTTCATTTTTATTATAGTTGTCGTTAAGGGGCAAACCATTTGACTTTTAATGGGGAGGGGGGGGATTTAGAAAAATAATTCTTGCAACCCACGAAGAAAGAAAATAATATTGTGCAGCATACAATCGAGAAAAAATATCATGTAAAGAGGGCGATCAAAAAAATTCCAACATGTAAATCTGCTGACGC